GAACCCATTCGGAGCGAAAATTTGTATGAATATTAGTTCTCAGCTGCTCTTATACATCATTAAAGTAAAATCTCAGGAAGATCAATAGTTTTGTAGTGCGAATTTTAGTGACGTCATATGTTGGACTGGAACTAGCTTGCAATGGAGGCTCATGCGGGGAATATCATTAAAAAGAGAGTTTGAAACGGTTACCCGCATTTGCCTCTGTTGCAAGCTAGCCCCAGTCCAAAACCGAGAATAGGAATATGGCTTATTGAAAAGCACACTTTAATTTCGCGCGTAAATGATTTATATATGACAATACTTTGAGGCGGTTCTTAGTAGACATAATCCTGTAAAAAGTAAAATCTCAATGCAATAATATAACACCACCAATTTGCAGTCTTCTAATAATAAGCCAATCACCTCATGGATCTCTTTCTCTTTTCACGGGCAGGATTTTTCGTCCCAACCGTGCGTCGATTCATACAGTTTACTCTTACTGACCCCTCTCCCCTCTATCAGTTACCTCTCTACATCGGTCCGTTAATTCTGCCCCCATGTGCACGTTGTATAGAGGTTTATCAGCTGTTAATGACGTAGCTTGCATTGCATTCGACGTTCGCTGCATCGCAACAATATGTTGAGATTTTTTTTTTAATTAACTATTAAGCGGCCAGTTTTCAAAGCCTCGATTTTTAGCTCATAAAAGAAAACGTTGTATTTGTTACCTGTATTAGGCGGCCACCTTGTAGCAGCGCTATGTTTGTCTTTCTTTGTTATTTTACCTGTATTAAGCGGCCACCCTGAACATAGCAACTATGAAATTGGACGTAACAACTATGAAATGACGGAACGAGATATTTTGTTGTGAACTGGAAGTCATAGAAATACAGTACTGTAAACCGTAGAAAAGTAGAGTAGAGGACAATTTATTGCACAGTACTTTTATACAATGTTATGTATATTGTACCGTTAAGTTGCAAGTTGGCGCTGATCCTTGTTTAAAATATTGATCGCTTGAAAGAGTGTTGGTTGTCTTATTGTTTCCTTGCATGAAGTGTGTTTGTAGATACGCCATTAAAATAAACATTTGACCACGCCCAGTGAGTATTGTTATTGATCCTGTATTAAGCGGGCACCTGCATTAAGCGGCCGGTCCCGAGGGTGGCCGTTATATACGGGTTCGACTGTACGTACGTTTCAAGTCAAGCTTTGTATGTACAAGTTGCAGTGAACGTCATAATCACTGGATAGCGTTTAATAATTGATTATTTCCTATTTTTACTGTCCGAATATAAACAAAACATTTTATTCCATTCTGATAAAATACCCATGGCTGGAAAAAAGTTGGACGGGAAAAATTATACGTTTATCAAACTGATCGTGAGGTTAAATAAACAATAGCCTCCATTTGGCACGAAAATATGCTAGGATATTTGAGACCTCGTAGCTCACAGTTTTCCTCGAGCTACGCTCTCGGAAAACTGTTCGCTTCTCGGAAAAGATAATGTCCAAGGAACATAACACGCTCAGGTTTGAAAATTGGGGAATATCCTCGGATATTCCCCAGTCTTAGCTAGGAAAATATTCAGTCACGTGACGCGTTTAGACCAATCGCGCGCGAACAATAAATTTGATGGATTATAATAGATAGATTTTAACCATGCAATTTTCTTTTCAGGGCCTGAAATTACCTTTCCTCCCTTCGAAACATTACTAGTTGAAGCACAAAAGCTAGCCCGTCCAATATTAATCCCCCTCCCATCCCGTAAACATGTAAGAACAACTTCAGGGCTTTTATTGTAATTGTTAAGTGTTGAGACCACAATTTTCTTAACAGTGTAAAATTTCTAAGCCTTAACTTAGAAGAATCTATCATGCATTTGACGAGAAAAATGAAATTAAATTGCACTTTTACTTAGAATATCTATTTCAATAACACATAACTACGATGATTCATAGCATCTTTATTGCAACTTGAAGATCTAAAATTCTAATTTACAATAACATTGTTTTAACAGCCCCCGGCGCTTCTAGAGACAATACTGATCCATATACAATTAAATACGATTTCATCATATTTTACTATATTAAACGTGGCACCACTAAAAGACGGTCTACTCTTCTTTCGTACTAGTGTTATTTTGTAGTTCTTTTTCCTTCTCTTTTATTCTTTATATTATCCTAATGTTAGAGCCATTACAAAATAATTTGTTGTGCATGTACTACACTGCACTCTACTTTCAGGCTATAATGCATGGTATTATATTGTTCTGCGTTACACTCAGACATTGTGCGCCACAAGGTACTTCGATACACTGCACTGCATTGCACTTCGTAGGGCTGCAGGGTACCGCACTGTTATTCACTGCATTGCACTGCAATCAGTGCACTGAATTGTATATATTTGCATACCACTGTCACTGTGTGAACCTCAGTAGATGAGCACAACGTTTTCTTAGGTTCACCTCCCTAAATGTTTTGCAATCCTCAAGAGTAAAAGAAATAGTAAGAAAATCATTAACGCTAACCCAGGATTAAAAGTTAACCGAAGTATTCCGAAGTTTTCCACTGCTTTCGTAAACAGAAGGCCAAGCAATATAAACAATATAAACAGAAAAACTCACCGAAAAGTTACAAAACTCAAATCAAAATTCTCGTTAATCCTCGGTTAGCTTAATCGGGCTTCCTGTTTGTTAAAAGAGTTGTTAGACAAACATTCAACTGTTCATCAACAATATCAACTGCAAGATCAGAATCAAGTCTCATTGACTAAATAACGCAGTATCAGTCAAGCGTATGCACTCAATTTGATTATAATTTTAAGAAAAATGACGTTTTTAAGCTCAGTGCAGTTGCAAGACATGTTTCGACGGGCATTTCTGTCGAAACATGTCTAACCACCTTTAAAACGTTGTCCCCTTTCTTAAACTCATTACTAGCCTGCTCTTAGCGCGACCTTTTGATAAATGTGATTTTCATCATCCCGACTTTGAACTGATAGCTGTATAGAACGATATTTAGAGGAGCGCATATGAGATGTAAAAGTCTGGAGATTTGTGTGACAAAACTGATGATTGCACACCTTTAAAGTTTCCTCTGCTCCCAAAATTGTCAAATTGAAACACATTGGCTCTTTGATTCTACAGAATCCTTTGAAATAGTTCCACCTTAAAACTGACTTTCGCCGATTAAATGAACTCACACAGCTAAACCGCCGACTAATACAGACGAATAGAAATTTCATCACATCAAACTACTCGCTCTATTAACTTAGTTGTCTAGCAGATATCCTCATGTCATCATGAGTACTATTCACGAGGCTTGGAAGTCTTCTTGCCTGGACGTTTCCTTCTTTTTCCCTTAGTCCCCGGCGTCACGAATCCATTTTTGAAAGTCATGTTCATCAGTTGACTCAGTTTCATCGGAGTGGGGACAGCCTGGGTGATAAATTAAAGGTAATCATAAATTATAAGAAAACACACTGAAAAAGGTTTCTACCTCTATTACACGGAACTACTGTAGCACGAGCTGTTGACGTAATGATGGAACAAGAGGAAAGAAAATTCAATCGCGTTTCTATGAACTGAAACTGAGAAAACAAAGATTTTGGTTATTAAGGCATATAAGAAAACGGAGACGCTTTCTATTGAGTGTAGAAAATTTTTTCGTTGGCTGCCAGTATGCTTTGCGCTTCTGTTGTTGTTATGGTTTACATGGGAGCGAGGCTTCTATTGCTATCTCGTTTATTACGACACGCGGCAAAACGTATTCGATTGCGTGGATGTCACATTGTTTGGACGTTTCCTGTTATCCTTCTAATAGAGTCGTTCAACTCGCGGTATTCAGACATGGACTGATTTGCAGCTGTAGTTATGCGTTAGCGAAACTGCATAATTCATTGCAGTTGGTAGAATGTGCTTCAACCAATCACAGCAACGTGTTGCATGTGTTTTCAACCAATCAAGAGCAAAACAAAAAACCAATCGCTGTGGCCAGACGTGAGTTTGTAGGATTTGTTTTAAAACTGTCAGTAAGAACTGCTGCAAGCGAAAAAGGTGTCTTACGTATATGTTAAGAGGAGAAATCACATTCTATCTGGTCTTTTTCAATAAATAATAGTTAAATATTTAATACCTCTGTTGGTGACTGTGCAGTCCGTCTTGATTCTGCCAGACATTCTGGACACTTGATGGAACCTGCCTCTCTAGTGCTTTCAGCAGCACAGTAAACATGAGCTGCTGTAAGTGAGTGAGAAAGAGAAAACCGATTATCAAATGCAACGAGATTTGGATGGACAAATGAGCCATAACTCTAACGGTGACATTCTTACTTGATCCAGGTGCCAGTTGCCATATCATGCTCGCTAACGCTTTGAACGACGCAATACTCATGAGAAATCAAAGATGCTGATAAACTGGCTGTGGCTTCTTGTTCAAGAAACATTGATACATTCGTGAGGTCTAAATTTTTGTTTAATTAAAACAGGTTTTAGGAGTTACCTTTATTGCATTTGAACCAGGGTCCTTGTGTGATGTTCGTTGATTTAACAATCATGTCTTTCAACTCTGAACCACAGTCGGTTGCCTGGACAAACTTGGAAAGCCCGTACCGCTGGTTAATTCTGTTGATACCAGCCATTAAATCTTTTCTTTTCTGATGAGCTGAAAAGAAGAGAACACTTGTTTGGTTAGAACTAAACGTTAATTCACTAAGCCTGCCCACTAACCAAAGGTCAATCTCTGTGCGATCGATTCAATTCATTCTTGAGAAAGAAGTTTGATACTAGGGCAGAAATTTCCACACTGGCTTAGCTCACTAGCTTCCATCCGTGTTATTCTCTAATCGGTTGTTGCTTGCGCGCGAAAATTCACATGCAGAACCAATCAGAGACAGCACAGTATATGGACCTGTATTGAGTTTCGTCATCAGTAAGGAACTTTTCTGCACGATCTCAGACGTCACTCAAGCGGGAAAAAGAACACGTGAAAAACACGTGGCGAGCACGTGGAGCACGTTTGTTAACGCAGGCTATTGTCACACTAAATAGACGGGCAAATTGAAAGCTGCTGAATGAAAAGTAAAAACCGGCCTAGTAAAAGGGAATTCGGGCACCGAGAATATTGGTAAAATCTCTAATTATAAATTGCGTTGTAAGGCACGTTAGCTGTCAAGCTCACTGTTTACGTCCAAAAGTACAATCACGGCAACACCCACCGATTTCTGACCCACAAAATGTTTGTATTACAAATTTGTTGGCGGCCATTTTAAACTCAGTTTCTTTTAACATATGATCATATATGTATATTTATTTACCAAGTGCGTTTCCTGAATCCAGCGCATTCCTTATAGAGTCTACACTGCTCTGATCTTCAGGACCAAGATTGACAGATTTAGATTGAAGTGCGCTCATCAAGCCTTGGAAGCAAGCAAGGAGCTCTGTTCTTGACAGTTCTTCCTGGAATTCCTTTAATTCCTGTTCACTGAAGCATTCCCGTCTTCTCATTATCCGTGATGTGATAATATTTATTTTACAATGTAGTTCACTGCTCGTTTCTTTTGTGATCTGGTGCTTCGTGGCCAGATTTCCGAGAAACTTCAAAAAGGTAACTTGGTTTTGACGCGTGCTGACTTCTTCAGATGTCAGACGACCGCTAGTGACAGATCGATCTATTTCTTTTAGCACCTTCTCTTGAATCCCTTTGATTTCTCTAAGTTCTTTTCGAATCCTCTGTATTTGAACCATACTTGCTACGTCAGAGAGGAAAGTTCGACGCTTCACGGCTTCAAAATCAGCAAGGATCTTCTTAACGATGTTTCCATATCTGCGGCCATATAGAATCGGAATGCCACAAGTTGGACATAGCTTGTGCTTGATTACAGCATCTTTACGATCATCTTCACTTTCTACATCAGCTTCATCCATGTATTTGTCCAACATGTTGACTTCAAACACATGACCACAGTCAAGCAATTCGACGAACATTGCTCCAGGTTCACTTTCTACGAACCTGTCTTCGTTGCAAACTCGGCACAACTTCGGGCAAACTTCGCCACAAACACCTACACACGAGTGACTGCACGATAACTTCTTTTGACATGGTTCGTCGCACCTCGGTCGGTTACAAATCTCTCCGCAAGGTGCCGTGCATTTCTGGTGTGGACACTGCCATGTACAATCATGTGCACATGGTTGACAAGGGTGTCCACAGTTCCGTCTGCATTGCTGATGATCGCAGTAGTTACGGCAGGGTTCTGAACAAGGCGGGCAGGTACGGACACAGGCGTCCTGACAGACATGGCCACAGAACAGTGTACGACTGCACTTAGAATCGCACGGCAAATGGAGGCGCCCACCTTGACATCGATAGCAGGAACCTGTTAAGCATTTATCAGTAAATAAGCTGTTATTTTAAATTTATACTAGCGTTTGGAGACTAAACGATTTCTGGGATAAAGGGGATAAAGTTGTCCTCACTTATACTGAAGCAGACTAAAAATTCCACATTGAGCCTCACACACAACATTCCACTAAGCACTTAGCAAGACTTGATTACTGCCAATAAGAGTAACTGTCAATTATTAATAACCATACCATAACCTGCCATTAGCTCCTCCTTGCCAGTCTTTCCCAGACGATCTTGTATGTTTATTTTCCCTGGTAGTCCCAATCATCTTCCGCTGAGGGTTCTCTCATCAGTTTCTCCGAGCGAGCGTCGTTTCTGTTTTTATTTTTTTTTTGAGAGCTTTATTGACATTTTTTACAGCATGGAAGACAGGCCGCTCGTTGCTAACACGGCATAGACTTAAAGGAACTAATTAACGGAGGACGCATCTTGAATCATTTTAGTCTGATTTATTCAACTTAGCCGCTTGTAATCAGTCTCAATCTTGCCAAATTTGGCTGTTAAATATTAAAATTCTTTTGGTGCACTTTTCCTACTTCGAGGCAGTTCTGTACGAGCAGCTACTTTAAAGTACTTTCCGATAGTCTTTTTTCATTGCAGCGTCTTCGCTCGAGTGCGTCCTAAGGCTTTCTCGCGATTTTACTGCTTGTAGCTCGATGTAACAACGAAGGTCGACTCATGCAAACGAATTTTCGTACTTAATAAAGGTATAGCAAAATACAAGCTACGATCTAACAACTCACCCAAACATGCATGGCCACAATGTAATTTACCACAGGGCTCTTGGCAGGCGATGTCACTGGGAGCCACAGAACACTGTACCTGATTGACATGGCCACAGGGCCACGCCTGTTTTGGCACCAACTCCATACACTTGAATTTAAAGGGGTCGACGGAACAGGGGACCTGCTGCTCGTGATTACATTCTGGGATGATCTTTGGGACTCGTACCACGCAAGGACCACACTCTTCGCCGCAGGTCCTGCGGCAATTATGTCCAAACTCGCAAGTTTTGGTGCAAGGCTTCTGGCAAGCGAATCTCTCTTTATGTTCGGGATCTGCCGGGTGACAGTACTGGTCGCAATCATGACCACAATCTAGCTGCCTTCCGCATGGTTCTTTGCACCCTCCCTCAGGGGCGTCTTCAAAGTCCTCAGCAGACGATGCGTAGATCACGTTTTGTGGGTGGTTTTGACAAACAAGTTTCAAATGGTGGCCTAAATTTTCTTCTTGGCGCATATCTGCGATGATCTTCTCCCAGAGATCAGGGTCTTGTCCTTCTAAAAGTGTAGCATTTCCAATGATGTAAAAACCTTTCCGGGCTCGCGATAAGGCAACACAGACTCTGTTTGCGATCTTGAGAAAGCCAATACTGTCACTACGAACAAGCGACAGAAGGATGATGTCATTTTCTTCTCCTTGAAAGTTGTCAACTGCTGTAACGCGAACTCCCTCGAAAAAAGTCTTGTCCGCGGACATCTCTCGTCTGAGTTTCAGAAGCTGTCCGCTGTAGGCTGTTAGAATTGTAATCTTTTCCCGCGGATATCCTTGTTGAATGAAGTAGCGACATAGGGCTGTCAGGAATTTGGCTTCGTGATCATTGGACCTGCTTTTCCCTTCAGAAATGAAGTTCTGCATGCAAAAAAAAGACGAAAATGAATTTAGTCCAGCCGATAATGACTCCGCACGTACTGATTATTAATTTTACGCGGTCGAGGACATTCCATTCAGTTTGAGGTCCCGTCCATACTACGTTGGAGGAATTTGAAAACGTAAAAATCACCGGTCATTTCGGATTTGTGTTTGAGGAAAAGCCGGTCAGGGAGAACACATGATTATCGTGACGCCATCGTTTTTAAATTCCTCCGGTTTGAACAGTGTTTTCGAAAAGCTCCGTTTTCGTGTCGGACTAGTGTGGCGGTTGGCCTTACCGTGTAAAAAATTAAAGGTGGTTTTCAAACCCCTCCGGTGTAATGTGGAGGGTGCCTCAGGCGTACATCTCAAGATCTCTCCACGGCTTCAGTATAAAAGATGGTACTCCAAAAACTACACGGCTCTTACCCGTTGGACCGGAAGGAGCCGGTGTAACAACAGCATTGGCATGAGTGCATAAATTTGAAGACATTTTGGGAAACAATTACAAGTAGACTAATCTTGAGTGTTTGTTTGAAACAAAATTTGGACGTAACCATCTGTAATTATATAGTCCTTATTTGCTAATGAAAATAGCTGTCTGAAATCAATATTTCAAACGTCTGTTAATTGTAGAGTATTACCTCTCCCTTATTGTGATCCACAAAGAACAAATTTCGTTCCACGCCTTTAATATCTTCAAAATTCAACACAGACTCGTCGTTTTGCAGTTTTGGTTCAACATAGATGTGATCCAACATTTTGGCAATTTGTGGCCGCATTCGGTGCTGCAAGGACAGCCTTGAAAACAGCATCCCGTTAGTCACCATTCTTTCAAACAATGACACGTCCAAATCGTAATTTTTTTGGAGATCGTAGACTGTGGGATTGGGACGGAGTTGTTGATGATCACCAATCAGAATCAAGTGCTGACATCCGGGTGTTAGAGAGGTTACAATGTGCGCCTCGAGCACTTCAGCGGCTTCCTCCACAATTGTAATCGCTGGCTGTATGTCTTGTAACAGGCTGTGACACCGTGCAGCACCTTGACACAATATGATATTACAAAACTATAATGATCTTTGTAATTTCACTAAAAGTTTTTCCATCGCATTGCCCTCGCATTATACTGGTCAAACACGTCACTTTGCAGATATAATGTCATAGAAGAGAAATGGGTGTGTTATTAGCTTTTGACAAGCTGAAGACCAATGAAAAATGAATGAAAATTTTGCCAGACCAATTGATGAATGAAAATTGAAAAAAATGAAATTCAAGAATTAAATCACACTTAGGGAATTTCCAAGCAAAAACCTTGACCGCAGACCGCAGAAAAAATTCTTAGAGGATTTTAACATGAATGAACTTCTACTGGATCACTATTCTATCAGCTAAGTTCCCATTTTCATAATTCCTATATGAAAAGTTTATATTTCGGCTCTCTGGCAATCATTCCTTTTAGGACCATTTTTCAGGTTTGGGTTTCATTATTCAAAAGAGCATTTTCCAGTAGTAATTACTAGTTTATTCCATGACTTTAGTCGGTGTGCCCAGCGCAACATTAACTTGCCGAACGAAGAAATAAGAGAAACAGTCGAAAAAGAAGGAGTGGTATTTCCAGCCACTTTCTCCCGTCTTCTCCTTTCTAGTTTTCGCCTGTTTACGTGTGTTCCCGTGTCACATTGTTTTTTCCTCGCAGCCTGACTTGAAACTGGAACAAGCCGCTCGAAAACAGGATATGATTTATAACACTAAAGCAAATCTTGCGCAGGCTTGTGTGAAAAGAAAAATCTATGTTACCTGTGGTGGTCATACCAATAACATCTGCGTTTTTAAGGATCTCGTAGTCCTGCTGTCTTCTAACTTCTTTCAGCTCATCCACTTTCTCATCAAACATTTCTTGGAAATCAGAGATAGCCTCGTGACAACGCTTACGCGCATCGCACACCCATCTGCGGTACAGACACCAGCGGTCTTTCTCAGAAAGGTTCCAAACATCCTCGACCTGAAAAGTGACATTAAACAACAGTTTAGTCAGCGGTCCATTTCAGATAAAAACAGTCGCACCAGCAGTTCGCCATAATGTTTGTGGAATCGGTTGTCGGTCTAAATTAACCCTTTAACACCCAAATTTTCACCAAAAAATGCCGTTTTAAACCGTTAAATCAGTTTTTGGGCTGCCATGACGCCAAATGGGCCTTAGCTTTGCCGAGAGAGCTAATTTCTTTTACCAAATAGATAGATTTCCTGAAGATAAGTTACAAAAAATGTACAATATTTTTATTTGGTGCATGCTCATAAGCCAAAATTTAGACTGACTATTTTTTTGCGATTGTCCGTTCCGAATTTTTTTTCTTGTCCCTTCCTTTTCTTTTTCTCAGCCCTTTTACTCTCGCTACCTTTTTCGTTTCATATTCTTTCTGGCTGCCGTAAAAAGTTGGGCGTTAATTATGGGCAAAGCCTGGAAATGGGACCTTGATCAATTATAGGTATAAGGGGCCATTTTACCACCATTTTTTGCACCAAAATTAAACTGAGAACGTTGTTTTTCAATTTGGTACCTCAGAATGCCGTCGATATCCGAAACCGTCTGTTGTGCGCATAGGTCTATCTTAGCTCTACTGTCTGCTTATCAAATATCTGGTGAAATTTAAATTCATGACGTCACAAGTGGTACAAAGAGCACGACCACTAAGCGCTCGTATATGGGATGTTGGGCGGAAAAGGGTTGTCCGAGTGTCCAATACTAGCTGTATCTTTCACAACTGTATCTTTCACTGCCTTAAGACCGCATATCTCTTTGGTGGGCAAGCAAAACAGTAACCTTCCGCAGTGACTCCTTCGCAGCCTGTACTTTGAGCGTAACACTTCTAGTCACGCAAAGCTTTTGGTCACGCAAAGCTTCTGGTTACGCAAGGCTTCTAATCACGCAACACTCTTAGGCACGAAAATCTTTCTGTCACGCAAAGCTTCTTCCCACTCGCAGCGTCGCACGACGACCCAATAAACGGTGAAGGAAATTGGCAAAACAGTTACCAGTACTAAATTGAAGAATTATGTCAGTTGAAAGCCATCCCCCTTTAGATCCACAAGAAGCTATACATAAAACAGCTATGGAAAAGAGCAACTGAGACAGAGACATCCGTCTAATTACCTTGGAAGCATCTTCTTCGCTCATCGCGTCATCTCGATTAAGCTCCCTCCGAATAATTCGTTTGATCTTTTGCTTGATTCTGTTGGGATTCTGGAATTGCCAGCTGCCATTTTGAACGTCTCCTTCCGTAAAATTTGGAGTCTCGTACGGATCGTCCGTGCTCAACAAATGATCCGAAGAAGGATTGGACTCAAACCTCAGCACAGCATCAGTATCCAGGATCCTTTGATCTTGCATGACGTCAGCATCAAAGTCAAAGTCACGAGGTTTTCCTCTGTTAGCGTCGACATCTTCACTGTTATCGTTGATTTCGTCTGCTTCTTCATCACTATCCACGTTTAGGTGTTCCCGACTGAGTTTGTATCTACCTGTAAGAAGAGAGAGAGAGAGAGAGAGAGAGAGAGAGAGAGAGAGAGAGAGAGAGAGAGAGAGAGGGAGATAAAAAAATGGTTATCTCTCTCAAAAACTTCAATATCTGTGCTAGACATTCCAGTGATATTTGCGTTTTGATGAACCTCGCATTATAGGGAACAGCTGAACTGACATGTTGGAATAAACTTTTCAAACATTGTTAAGTCACGTTTCAGTGTTCTCAGTAATCTTTTCTTGAAGACTGTTCCATGTGTTTCATACAAAGTAAATATTGAATCTTGGGAAATGCATCCATAATATGTAGGTTGAAGTTTTGAGGCAATTAAAAAGATCATTGATTATTTACTTGTACTAAATTACTCTTCAGACTAAGCCAGCTATGATACTATAACTACTGTACTTCGATGAAATTCAAGATAGCGCCCAGTCGACCACGGAAAGCGACTAGCTGGTGGACGCCATCTTGAATTTTCAACGCTGAAAACACCCTCAAAAGCTCAACTCAAGCTACATGCATATATGCTGGTTGTGCTCACCTTGTTGAATACCTCCAACTGCTCGAATATTGTCAACAGTTAGCGCCTCTGCATATATATGCAAATGAGAAATTCTCCCTGCGAAGTAATACCCTTGCCAAGGGCTTGCCAAAGCGCCAATCCTGATGGAAAACTGTGTCGCCAAGTCAAAATTATTCCCTATGGACACAGCTGCGACCTCATTTCCATTGTGCCACAGGCATGCTACTCCGGAGTCGTGATCGTAAGAGGCACCGATAAAGTTCCACGCATTCATATTCAGCACCGGAGCTCCCAGAGGGGGAGCGCATACCATGAGATCCCTGCGGATGAAATGAGCCGTTAGTACCCCCATTTCACCGTAGAATCCCTCATGCCAGAGCTGAACACCAAAGCCGTAAATGTCATAGCTAAGAATTGGCCCGCCGTTTCCAGTGGGGTAGATAAACGCGAGCAACGTGATGGATCTTCCGGCATCTGCAAAACCACCCCACATGTTTGGGATCTCGATAAATGAGTCGTAACTCCCAGCAAGTTCCAGTGAGCCTCCTTCGACGTCATCTGCACCAGGAGCGATTTGGACACGTGGTGATATATAGGCCAGGTCTGCTTGGGAAAAATACTCCATGCCCCAACACTCCGCGTTGAAAGGAAACATAACTAGAGGTTGGGAAAATCCTGAAACAGAGAGCGCCGCGAAAAAGTTCTTTTTTTACTTTTCTAAAGAGCACAGTATTGATCTACTGGGATTTCTTAGTGGTATTCTAGGTGTCCCAAAATAAATAAAAATAAAAAGACTTTTACAACTTTAAGTTTGCTTTTCTTCGAGTATAAACTTGAACTACTAAACCAGTTTGGACACTAGACCTTAACATAATTCAAGTTGCCCTTTTACATCCTTGAATTTAAGCACAAATATCAAGAGTTAATTTAAAGCAAAACCTCGCTGACCAGAGCGTTTTAGATCACTCGATTTGAATTTTGGAGGCGGAGGTTTAGGGAGCATAACATGAAATTTGGAAGCTCCTTATTCACTCCTCCACGAAGCCAACAGATGGATTTGTTCTCGCTAGTCCCGAGACCGCGCTTAAATGCCTCCTCTTGGAATTGTTACAAGTTTATGTAAACTTGCTTTGAAGCCAGGGTTCTCAATAAGCACCGCAATACACTACTAACTACTTACTAACACAATTTTTTGAAACACCACTCCCACACACACTCCAACCCTCTCCCCCACCCCATCACTCAGATTTCTCACCTTCTTGGTATGGGTCTGCTGGCTGGACAGGAAGACCAAGCCACTGTGGGATGACGGATTCTTTTCTTCCTTTCCCCGCTGTACCGCGAACTGCACCTCTTGTCAGTGAATCATAGTGGTTCTGCGTCATGCTGCAATTAACAAGCTCATCCTCGTGAAATACATTTCTTGTTAATTCGTCCAGCATTCCATCCTCATACTCAATCATTCGCGACAGATTTTCCATTTCGTTTTTGATCGCACTGTAGGCTTGTCTCAGATGTGCAGGCATCTTGCGTTGCTGAAAATAAGCACGTAACTGTTAGACTGACTGGATGTGAATGATGTAAGTCAGATGTACGGCATCTTTAAACTTTAATTCAATATAGCATACTCCTCTCTTCGTTCAATCTAGTATATCTACTGACATATGTACTGAATTAACAGTTCCCTCCTTAGTGACATGTTATTTAAGACAGAAGTTTTCAACTTAAATGGATTAGCCAGCTGAGCATGATTGTCTGAATTCAGTTGTGAAATTAAGTAGATGAAATATCTGGTGTGCCTCGAGGGAAAATTCTGCCTACATAAAGAACTCAATAGTGGTAGTTTTACGAAAAAGATTAGGTTTTTAGTTAACACTTAAGCCTGGTTTTCACTAGAGGCGAAAGCACAAACGCAAGCACAAGCGCAAAAACAATAATTCTTATTTCTCCGTGAAAACGGCCTTGACGCAGGCATAAGCACAGGCACATGGATCAAAATTTTTCCTTTTTTCTTGTGTTCGCGCTTATGCTTGCGTTTGCGCTACAACAAGTGAAAACGAAATACCGCTCAGGTATAACACAAGCACAAGGATATTTACCACAAGTGGTTAAGTTGGCCAATGAAAACACTGGATCCAGAATACCTCGTGCCTAAACAGTTTGGAACGTTCGGATGATTTTGCATGTGCTCGTGTTTGCGTCGAATTTCGTTTTCACTTGGGTCATCCCTATTGCTTACGTTTGTGCTAGCACTTGTGCTTGCGCTTGTGCGTGCGTCGCTAGTGAAAACCAGGCTTTACTGGTAACTAAACTTGAAATCAATAAGGGTGCATTAACCGCCATAACGTGTATATGTATACCGTAAATCCTCGAAGTAGCGCCCCTCCTCGAATAAGCGCCCCCTTCCCCTCCCCCTATTTTGTAGACGAGTCATGACACAGCAAAGAATGTATAGTTTTCGTCGAATAGTATTAGATTTGTAGAATGTTTCAGTTTGTGACCACGTGAATTTCTAATGGTGACGCGATTTAAACTTTAGGATCAGCTTTTTATGCCGATAAACAGCTTATGTTGTTGTTTACGTCCAGATGATGTATTAAAAATTGATCATGTCAGGGCATGATTTTTGAAAAGTTAAATAAGCCCCCCCACCGACCCCTCGATTAAGCGCTCCCCTCGAATAAGCGCCCCCGTCTTCTCCTAAATTTGAAATATGCGCCCGGGCGCTAATTCGAGGATTTACGGCATGTTAACTCTTCGTCAGCCCTTCGTTGGGGGAAATCCTTCTTTAGTCCTTCGTTTGAGGAATCATTGTTCTGACGAAGGTCTAATATTCGAACATCAACTCTCCACACATTCGCTACGGCCGTTCATTTACCTTTTTATTATATAAAAAATTAGTGGTATATCGAGTGGTAGCAAATCGATAAAACGCTATCCCCATGTGCAGATATCGTTTGGAAATCTTCGGTCATCTTCGGAAATTTTCGAAAACTTTTCGGAAACGTTCGTGTGGCCTTCTGACAACTTTTGAAGAAGCTTCGAAAAGTGGTCGGAAATCATCGGAAAATCATCAAAAACGTTGTTAGAATGTTTATGTATTGTGGGGGTTTTATATAATATAAGTTCAAATTTATATATAATTAAATTTCGTATTAGATACCTTCATCATGTCGTCTTTCAGTTTCGACAGGCTGCATTCTTGTATCTTCTCACTCTTACTTCTTCCTCCAACACGAACAATCCCGTCTGAATGAAATAAATGGATTCCTTCCAGAAACTGGTCCAGAGCATGGTTGGTGAAACAAACAACAAGGATGGGACTTCCCGTCTTGTTCCAAGCACTTATGTTATGTAAAAGAACCTTGGCTATCTGCAAAAAATTATTGTTCGTGAGGATGGCTATGTTCTGTATATTTACCCAAGGTGCAATGAAAAATGGTATCTCCGAGCTAAGACTGAGAGAAGATTTCAGAAATCAATTTTTGTCGCATCATTTAGTTGAATCATCCATGTTCTATGTCCCGTGAATGGTAAAGACATCGCATAAATGAAGCTGGGTCAGTTCAAGGGTATTTTATTTGTTCTGAGACAGACTGTCTACAGAGGAAGATCAGTGAAGAACTTGCAGACATTCGTTTTCATTAACTTTATTCATTAAGCCAATTTGCTCCATCAATATTATACAGATTACAGATATCTCCAAAACACTAACGGGCCGAGAAGACAAGGAGAGGTTGATGCTACCATTTTAAACTTGAACCCCTTTAACCAGGACAAACATCACCGGAGATAGAGTATCTTCATACAGGATCAAGTTCAGATACCTTCAATCCAATGTGAGTCTTCCCAGTGCCGGGTGGTCCTTGAATGACTGCAAACTCTTTGGTCAGCGCCAACTGTAAAGCCTTGAACTGTGACTCATCTAGCCCCAGATCCTTTGCAGATGGCCAAGAGGCTGGATTCAAAACTGATACCATACATTCTTGGTGGAACAGAGAGATTAAAATTGGATTTTGATTTTAAAAAAAACTATTAAAGTCCTTTAAGCCACTTCTGTTGCCGTGTTCGCGTAGATTTGTGGGCCTATTTACCCGGCAAACACCGGCTGAACTGTAAACATGAACTGAAGTCCAGAAAAAAAACACAACTGAACAACGCTTGTTGAGAAAACATTTTCACAAACACCAGTCAGCAAAAGAAAATCGTAACGGGAAGTGGGAAAAAGATATATTGAAACAAATCTGGGTCGTTATGTATTTTCTCATCAAACACCATTTTGAGCAACACATTCCACAGGTCTTAGGTAGAATGATGTCCCGAATCATATGCTATCTTTAAAATGTTCTCCTTTGACATTTAAACAACAAAGTCGTAGTTCATGTTCCAGACTTACCAGAGGTTTTCGAATCACAATTGCTCTCACTCTCCGTAAGGCAAACAGAACTCGACCTGAAAAAGATGAGTTTTTTTGTAGGAAACAAGTATAATGACATGGATACTTTCCGAAGTATAACCTTCTGCGATTTGAAATTAAGACTAAGATGTTGCTTAAAGCCATGAGATAATTTTACATCTTTAGGTAAGGAATAGCAGAGATTCGTCAATTGCATCCTTGATTTTTCCCAAATTAAGACACATTTCGAGATATTAACAGCTGACAGCCCTTTCTGCAAACGTCATAAAAATTCAATCCTAACTTTCTTGTTCTCCATGTTAGTCAGTCAGTCCCAGCCCGGTCCCAGACGTCAGCCCGGTCGGTTGTTCCGGGCCGGCCAGTCGGTCAGAACATACAGTTATCTGCCGTATCACTTACTTTTCATCACGAGATTCTTCGTCCGATAAAATAGCTGAGAAATCATACACCACGTGCTGACCATCACCTTTCCTCAGATAGGCTGGTGCCCAGACATCGACCTGACACTTCACAATGTATCTCTAACAAAATGTAAAGAGACAGAAAGTCTTCAGAACATGTTCCATGTTAGGTCATTTCAGGCTCTACCGTAGATCGTAAAAGAGATAAAACTTCAAACATTAAAACATTCAAGCATTAGTGGAAGCAAGTTTGTCACTTGTTTGTGCTTCATCTCAATCTATTAGGCTTATAATAATCTCCCTTGTGTTTCTCTACCTCAACAAACCATTATTTAGAGGATCCTCCGGTAATCAACGTGGCTTCAATATGGCGTGACACTGGCGCTAATAACTGAGAACAACAGTAGGTTATACCTGAAAAGGAAATTCTCCGGGAGGCATCATTTTCAGTCCTTCAAGCACTGGACGGTACGCTTCAAAGAAAGCAATGGACTCAACCATTTGACACATATCCCCTGTCTGCAATCCGCCTTCACTAGCAGGTGACACAAAACGCACCTCGATCTCACCCTGACAGACAAAAAACACAGGAAATTCTTCTATAAAAATTTTTAATTCTCACTGATTGTTGGGGAAAGTGTCGGAAAAAGGTACGTTTCTGTGATCTCTTTTTCAAGGGAGAGTTTACGTAATCTCGACCCTCCTTTACGCTGCCCTATATACTAAATAGGTCTCTTCAGCTGGGTGTTGACGGCAAGAAGTGTGTGAAAACTCTAAGGATCTTCGAAATAGCTAATATCAAAACGTCAAGGACACCAAAAGCAAACGAATTCAGCATTTTGAGATCTAAGGGGAAGCAAACACGTATAGCAGGCGAGTATGATCAATTGCGCTGAAGTGCAAAGGAAAATAAAGCGTTGAAGATTCTCTACTGATTCAAATCAAAACAAATGAGCAAGCAAGGTACCCAAGATTTTTTAAGAATAGGCTACTTTACTGAAAAGTTACATACGTGGCTAAGATTCTACTCCTAAGGAGCACTTTGCACAGAAAATTCACTGACTTAATACTGCTTACCTTTCTTATGTTATTCAACTCCCTATTTGCGACTGTGGCAAAAGCAAAGCTATTAAAATTGTCCTTCGATAGACACAGTAGTGATCCAAAGATTAGCCTCTTACTGTTCTCCCATTGCACTCGTTGGAATCTTGCAATATCAAAGTTGATTTTGTATGCGACTCCGTTGGAACTACATACGGGATATAGTATCCTCACATCTTCGTAGATTCGGACATCCTGTAGGCGATCATCGTTACTATTGCTATCACTGTCCCTGGCCATTAACTGCTGGATCCCAACGCGAAGGGGCCTTAAGAAGTCTTCGCGAAGGAGCCGAAACTGGACGTCCAAATAATGTTCCTCGTTGCGGTAGCGCCCATGGACTTTGTTCCTTCTAAGAAAGGGCTCCTGATCCTGGTCTTGCTGTGCGATAATGTCCTCACGGGTTGGAATGATGCTCAGCTCCCGAAAATTCTCAGGGGGCTCGCTGTTGTCATCGGTAATGGCTGAAAATAAAACAAAATGCCGCGAAATTGAGCTACCTTTTCCGTGATCATCAGTCATAATGTGTCTATAAAAGAATAATCAAAACTTCACGGAAGTTGTTTTCCCCAATGAGTGGATAACAACGGACGCGAGCATTTTCCACGCCGTGATTTATGGGAGGGTGGTAAAGCTGAGATTGTACGGAATGCTACAGGTATCGACTGTTGCTCTAAAAGCAAAATTCCATTTTCTCTACGTTCGAAGAAAAAAAACAACAGCAAAACAGCCAACCAATAAACGTAAAAACACAAATGAATTATCTTAATACATTACCAGTTTTGACGGGTGGGCTCCTGCGCGTCGCCTCTTTTCTGCATCGTGTAATTTCCTCTTTCTTTCTTAACTTCATTAGTTCTTGTACTGTAGAGCTTATTCCTCTATCCATAAGTTCTCCAGAGCTTGCGAGTTTCATGGTAGAACTGTGCAGCTTGACTATTGGTAAATGCGCAGATGCCTTCGGGAATCTGTTGAGAACTTCTTTTAGCACTTTCGCTAAGTCCCTGATTGTTTCCAAATCAAAATGCTTGATTTGTGACCTTTTCGATTTCTTTGCAGCTACCTGATCGAGAATGGCACCTACCCTTCGGGTGAGAAACCAGGATTGGGACAAGACACTGAAGAGATTTCCTAGACCGGTATGGCACTCACAGTCGCAAGCCTTCGCAAGAAGCTTCACCAAAAGAGCAACCACCTCATCTTTCCGCTTTTGTTGTTTCTTTCCAAACAGTGAGGACTGTTCCAAGATAAGCCAATTAACAATTTCTTCTGGACTTTCGCTGAGAAGATTCCTCATTGCTTCGAGACTTTGAGTCTTTAACTGAGATCCTGTCTTTTGCTTCTTTTTCTTTGCTTTCCCTTTGACACTTCTCGGATCTTTGTCCGAAACAGACTCAAGCCTCTTTTCTGTGGGTCCGTTTTGTGTTGTTTTAACTTGTATGTCGCCTTGTGAAGAGTTATTGTTAACTTCCAACGTATCGAACTTTCTTTCTTTAACTACTTTCATTACATCTTGTGCATGACTGGCTCCAATTTGTGTTCCAGTTCCTCCGTCATTGCTCAGTGCTGGATTGGTCTTGATGTCATCTACAGCAATGCCTTTGTCATCTTCCGCTCGAACACGCCCTTCTCGCAAGTTTCTCTTTCTAGTGCCATTTTGGCTCCCGCTTTCTACTCCTGTCGTGCCATCCTGTGGAGGATTTTGTGACAGAGCGCTGTCACTTTCAACGAGAACCTTATTGTTGGCTTTTCTTCTATTTCGAGTGCGTTTTTGGCCTTGTTTTTTGATGTTATCTTGGCTTTCATCTTCTCCTGTCGTGCCATTTGGCCGATCATTTTGGGGAAATTCCTCTTCTTGGCTGTTCGCTACACCAGATTTGCCTGTTTCAACTTTATTTTGGCCACCTCTTGCGCCTTGCTTCTTCTTTTTATCTTGCCTCATAGGCTCTTCTAGATCTCTTGTGGCACCATTTAACTGACCACTTTGGGACAATTTCTTTTGTTCACTTTCCTTAGCAGTAGTTATTTTTTGTTCACTTCTTTTTCGTGAGCCTCGTTGTCCTTGCTTTTGAGCCCCATTGCCTTGGACCCTGCTTTCTTCTCCTGCAACGTGCGCCTCATCTTGCGAACTATCTGTGGACAATGAGTTGTTGTCAATGCCTTTCAAGGCAACAGTTTTGTTCGTTTTAGGTTTTTCTCGCGGGCGTTTTTGTTCTTTTTGTCGAACACTAATGTGGTTCCCACTTTCTTTTCCTGTCGCATCATTTTGCGGCGGGGCATTGTCGTCATTTTTAATGGCGTCACTTACGTTTTCTTCACGGCTACGTCGTGGGCGTTGTTTCCTTCGTCTTCGAGTTCCGTTATGTCTTCCAGTTTCGTCTGTCGCATCATCCTGGACGTTGTTTAATGAGGGCTGCTTTACGGTGTCTGTTTGGTTAGTAGCACCAATCGTGGAACTTTTATCCTCTGGGCGTTTTCTTCCGCGGCTAAATCTTCGGCTGCGACTTTGCGTTTTCTCACTGACCTCATTCTGCGTTATAGTGTCACCCTGAGCGTTGTTTGGCGAGGATCTGACCCCAGTGTTAGCTGCAGAAAGCTGAGGATTTGGTGTCTGGTCAACGGAGGCAGAAGCACTTTCTTGACTTTGCTTTTGTTTTGGTTGAGTGCGGTCTCTGCAGTCGCGCGAAGGGTCCATAGGTCTGAAACACAAAATAATTAATCAATCAATTAATTAATTAATTAATCAATAACAGCTCAATTAATGAAGGCTACCATAAGAAATTGACTTGAAGTGTGGTAGATTGACTTGGTGTGGTAGATTGGCCTGTCCAATTCTTTCCAAATTGAAAGAGGGAAATCTCCAAAAAACGAAATGCTTTATCCCCTTATCCAAATAGATTCCATGTTGCCGTGCGTCAGTTATATAACACAGATTCGTCAAAATGTGGTAAGATCAAAATAAAGTGACTCACAGGACGATACCGAGTCTTTCAATAATTTTCTTAACACATTTTGACGTCATCTGTGACCTATTAAGCAATTAAATTATGAGCTCAAGATTTCTATCACGCATAGAAATCGAGAGCGAATAATCTAATTATTTTAGTATAAATCTACTAGTCGCTCAAAACTTTATCTAAATCCGCTTCACAGACACTTCGAAAACGCCAAGAAGCGGCCGTCATTTTGTTAACGAGGATACACTGCTACGTCACTCAGTATCTATCACAGAATAGATAGTGAGTAGCGTAGCCAATCATAGAACGGCATTCGTGATAGAACGCTAGTGGATTTACGCTAATACTCAGCGGACGCACGACAACATGAGATAAACATTTTTGTACAATAACAAAAAAAAAGTTAATGAAGTCATCTATGCATTTGTCGTCTAATAGACCATAAGTAAGAACAAATCATAATTCGAGACTAATTTGACGTATTGTACAATGCAGTTTACCTCACAGGATTTGTAAGATGGCCCCTAAAAATAGCCCATACTGAATAAAGAATTGTACGTTAATTCTAAACTAAGTTGCATATACGTAAAAAGGGTTTTACAGAAATCTTTAGATGCTGGTACACTGCTTCTTGTCTTGTTGCAGGAGGATGCCATTTTGGAAACGCATTTGACCGCGTGAACAGGTGATATATCTCTACTTTTTAGAGTGAAACAATTTAAATTGAAAACACGTATGGCATCTGTCGCGATCCAGGCTGAGTCAGAACGTAAAAAAAGAAAAAAAAACTTTTCGTTTTGACTTACACTTAATAGGCCAGGATGATAAAGCTAACGCTTGGCATCGTCAGTTCTTCGTTTAACGTCTCAGAACCTGGAGAAGTTCGAAAGCTTTTTTTAAAGGAATGAAGAATAAATTGCATCATACTACAAGTTACTACACGTATATACGTAGAAAAAATACTTAACCCCCCAAAAATATGCTTAAATGGTCAGAGCAAATTTCTCGGAATGCGCTTGTCGACTTCCGGTTATTTCTAAGAATTAATTTCGGCATAAAATATGAAAAATATTGGCTTTGTAAAGCTCCCTAGCTTACTGACCTTACTGACAGTTTTGTTTGGTTTCTTTTAATTCTGTTACAATGATTATGTAATAATGGTTGAAGCAACTGATTTCCGGTATTTTTTCCAGGAAATCATTTCGCCATAAATCAACGTATTGATGCCGTGAAACTTCAATTCCTTGCTCAACATTTGTGTTACTTTTAGTTTCCAAAATCCAACATAA